TATTTAGTTATTGTTCATTAATTATATGTAAATATTTTTTTTCCAGATAAAAATTCAAAATAATTTTTTTTAAATGAAGTAATTAATTTTTTTATTAAAAAAAATTATTCTTATATTAATCAAAATTTTTGTGAGTAATTTTTTATTATTATTGTCCTCATGAATTTTTTTTTTAATACCGTCACTGCATGCATTACGTGTTTGACAGTTTTTAGTAACGGTGTTGGGCAAAATTGCGCCACATAAAAATACCTCACAATAATGTGTAATTAAATTAATTTATAAGAAAAAATGAGCATTGAAAATGGCTCAATTATTAGACTTCCTTCTGAAATTATTAATAGAAAGGAATTCTCATCATCAGACACACAAAGATTTTCTCAATTTTGGATAGTAAATAACATAATTAATTCCTTATTTTCCACTAATAACGCATACAATGAGTTAATGAGAAATTGCTGCTTTAAAGAAAGTGTGTTTGAAGAAATAAGATTCCAGCTTAATGTTATAGTTAACAATCTTGAATTGATCCGGCTTAACGAGAAAGAGAACAGTAAACAGTTCCAAGTCTGGAAAGAGTTAGGAAGTTGTGTTTCCGAGTTTATTATTGAATTAATGCAAAAATGGGACTCAAAACTTTGTGAGTTACAATATCACCACCTTAATAACTGCGAAGTATCATTTAATGAGTTAGCTTCTGAATTTAATCAAATCGGAGCAAAAGTTCAAGGAATGGATGTGATCGAAAGTTTTATTATGCAGGAGGATTTATGGGGGGATGAGCAACTATTTTGGGAAGTTGATTCAGCTTACCCACTGCGTGAATTTCAATTTGGAGTAATGAACGAGCAAACAGTATGTTCAACTCCGATTACGATCGTTTATCTTAGCAGTTTACTACATCCATATTTAAATATTTGGTCAAATATTCGCTCTTTTTTCAATATTTTGATCAATAAAGTATTCCTGACTGATTTAAGTAATATCAAGAATGCAGAAATCCAAAAGATTGAATTAAATATATTCATTCTTGAAACTTTATTTGGTAATATTGAAAAGTCGATTTTAATCATTGACGAATATTTATTGAATATATGGATTTCTTTATTAAGAAAATGTATTGATACTTTTATTAAGTTTATTCCAAATACTCCAAACTCTCTCAAAAAATTTCCATCTAATAAAGGAAGTGACACAATCGAATTTCATGACTCAGTATGTATTCTACATGATATTTTAAATTATTATAATAAATACAATACTTGTTATTTATATAACATTGGAAATATTTTTGAAATCCAACCAAAGAATGAAATTTCAACACTAGATTCTATATTGAGAACAATTAAAGTTGATAATCTTCTTCCAAATACTTCTATGGACCTATTTAGTGATCTAAATCTTCAAGATCAATCAAAAGCTTTTCCTATAAATATGTTATTCAAGAGTAATGATAATAATAAACCTCAGGTTATCCAGAGAAGATATACTTTTCAAAGTAACATTGGAGAATCATTCAGAGAGCTAAATAAAAGTTTGAAGACCTACTATAAGGAATTATTTATTAAGGAAAATGAAGAGAATAAAGTAGATTTTGTAAATCCAATCATAACTAAATTAATCAAAAATCAAGTTAACTTTGAAAGCTATCAAGGAATTCGAATAATTAATATTTTATCATGCTTAAGTGAACTTGTAATTTTGGAAGAATCATCTACTGAACAATTAATTAAAACTCTACGTTTGGATTCAAAAAGAAAGTTCCCAAATATAGATGTTGATCCAACTGAAGCAAATCTTTCAATTAAACTTATATATAATAAAGGAATCAAAGATGATGAAAGGGAAATTAAGAGGAAAATTATGTCAATGTTTCTATTAGAATTTGAAGTTAGTAACTCAAAAGACTATATTAAAGGTCAATTACCAACATTCTATTCCTTAAAAATCAGAATTAATAATACAAATCCCAATTTAATTTCAAATATAAATCCATCAAATACTCAAATGTTGATTTGTGGTATCCCAAGTTATTTAATATTGCAATTCTTTGACAAAAATAACATGGAGGAGTATTCAAACATCTTTAGTTTTTTATTAGAAGTCAAGAGATGTTCATTATTTTTAAATCAAGTATTCCAAACTCTCACTTTAATGAATCGAGAAAAACAGGGAATTCTGCTTTGTAAGCAAAAAGCAAAAAAAATGGCAAATGATGATTTTGATTATATTAAATTCTGTAATAATAATTGTCTAATTATTATGAAATGGATTGATTCGTTGCTTTATATAACTCAAAAAATACGTTTTTCAATTCAATTTATTGTGGATATTTATTATGGTTATTTCTCAATGCAATATCCAATAATATGGGAAGACTTCAAAAATCATCTCAATAGCAATAACTCTGTTTCATTTATGATTAAAAGCCATAAGTTGTATCTTGAGAAGCTACATAAATTGACCCTAGCTCCAAATAAGAGAGATCCCAATAATTCAGAAATAGATCAGTCATTTCAATCAATCTCTATAAGTTTTGTAATCTTACTCAAGCTTGGAAGAAGACTAAATATATTAACTTATAAAATTAACCAGCTTGTACAATTCTTGATTAATGTGAATAATGTTTTAAAGAGTAAAAAGTACGTTCCATGTATGATTTTAAGAAGGAAAATACAGAAAACCGTTAAAAAGATTGCATTAGCTTTTGAATTACTTTACTCAGAGTTTAATGAAAGTAAGCAACAGTTCATCGATTCATTAAAAATATATATTTTATCCAACCCAAATAAAGGAATGGAATTCTTACTATTACAACTCAATAATTAATGGCTTTATTTGAATTTATGGATAGCTACAAGGCCTCCGAAATAAGCAATAGCAACATAAGGTTGGTCTATTAATTTGGGATAATTAAATAGGTCAACGGAAGTTATACATTGAACTTCAAGAAAGTCAACAGCATTCAAGTTATTATTTTCATGATTCCATATGATCTTAATAGATCCTTGTTTCATTCTATTTACCCTTTGGTTATAATTATTCGTGATTAATTCCTTCATAGAATTAAACAACTTTAAATTATTGACTGCCTCTAATTCATTATCTAAGTTATTATTTACATCGTGGGGATCATTGTATTCGATAGAAGATAACTCATTGTTCATTTCAACATTATTATCATCAGCTACCTCGTCAATATGAATTGGTTCATTTTCATTTAAATTTGTTACCAAAGCCTTGATCAAAATCGTTTCTTGGAAAGACTTGGATTCAAATTCAAAGCAAGGTCCAATAATTGTTGATCCATCATTGAATCCAAATATTGCATGATGAAGAAATGAACTACATGTCCAGGATCTGGAACCCAAAATAGGAGAAATTTGTTCTTCCTCATATTTTGAATATTTTTTCTTCTTATTGTATGCCTCAATAGTGAATTGGGTATAATCGCCTGTCTCAACTGACAAAACTATGGCTCCAATTCCATGAGAAAGGTAGATATTATTAACAAATCTACTCCAAATAATACATGTTATTGGTCTATTTGGTAATTCAAATTCCTTGATTAAATTATTACTGCTTCTTCTAATATCAACAATTGAGATTTTTCCATTGTAATCACAAACGGCGATCAAACTTGAGGAGTAAATGGGACACCAAGAAGCTGAAAGGAGTGGAATATTTTGGGATACTAAGATAATTTGTTCTGAAGGATTTAGAAGCACCAAGTTTTGTTTAGAATTAGATTCTGCTTCAAAAGTCCATACTAATAAGATCCCTTCAACAGTAGTTCCAACAATTCTTAAGTATTCTGCTTCAACATCTGGAATACGAATAGAAGCAGAACAAATTGTGTAATATGGATTTGAATATTTCCAAACAACCAAATCATCAATATTGAATCGATTTAATATCATATTATTAAGCAAAGGAATAGAAAGTAAATATGCAACTCCATCTCCTAGAACACAAAAAAGGAGTCCAGCTGATCCTTTTTCTGGTTTCTCACTTTGGGGAATCCATTCAAGAAATCTGCAAAACTGACCATTATGATAAATCTCAAAAACTTGTTGAGGTAATAAAGAGTTATCAGCCTCATTTTCTGGATTTTGAAAAGGAATACTCCAAATTTGGATTATTCCTTTGTCATTATATCTTTTGTTTATTTGAGAAATGGGGGATTCATGTGAATGAATACCTATGGCAAGAAAAATCTTATTTATTGAATGAGATGGAGGACTAAATGCCATTTTCCAAACATGGCCATTGGTAAAGAAAAGAAATGGCATAAAATCTGACTTTGTTTTTATTCCTGAATTCACATTTAGTACCATTTCTTCCAAATCATTATTGAATGAAACTTTGATCGAATTATCAGAAGTGGATGTAGAGTTTAAGGTATCTTCATTCAAAAAATCACTCTGACAATCCATTATGGATGAAGATTTATTCAAAGTGTACCAACTACTGAAATTATTGTTCAACTTAAAAATTTGCTTTATCTCACTGAAGTTTTTATTTGATAATTCTCTTTTATATATTGGGAAAAAACTAAAGTTATCAATCTCCGAAAGAGCTTCAATACAGTCAATTAGAGAAGGCTTTGGCTGGTTTTTTTTAGGTCTTCCTCTTCTTCCAAGACATACATTATTGTTCTTATTCATTCTTAAACTAACCTATGAAAATTCACTTTTTGAGTAATATAAACAAATACACATTTCCACATTAATTTATTGGATTTTGTTCTCCAAATAAATTATCAAAATCAAGAATTTAATACAAATAAGGTAAAAATTACAACCTTTTTTCAAATACTAATTATTTTATTCAATTATATTTTCTCCTTGCTCTAAATATATTTTTTTTTATTTTTATTTTACCTCCCCTAATTTCCCACTAATTATTTATCGTTATCACAACAATCTTCACTCTACACTTTATACTCCTTAAAAACCTAATACAATATTAATTATCTCATTCGACAAAATGTCACGTGAGCACTAATGGTCTAGTGGTATGATGAAACGTTGCCATCGTTTCGACCGGGGTTCGATTCCCCGTTAGTGCACTTTTTCTATATTTTTTTTTAATATGCCCAAATATTTTTGAGCGTGGTAAAAATTAATAGCAAGCATTGGAATTATTGTTATTTTTTATTTAAATGATATGGAAAGAGGCTGAAATTAAAGTTTCTTGAAATTAATTAATTAAGAGAATAAGTCCAATTGTACCATCCATATATACTTAAGTGGTAAGCATCATCAAATTTTTTCTCCAAGATTTTTTTCCTTCAATTTCTTAAAGCTTGAAAAGATTAAGTTAGAATTGAAATGAGCAGCAGAGATCATCGAAGAAGAGGGGAATCTTCCTTCAAAGGAGGAGGTTTTAATTCTTCTAAAGCATCTAGATCAAGCTCAAACTCTTCCTATGATAGAAGAAGATATTCTTCAGCCAAAACGAACACAAGGCAAAAATTTAAGTCAAGTTCAAGATCAATGTCAAAATCTAGCTCAGAAAATAGGTATCGATCTGAATCTATGTCACTATCAAATTCAAGATCGAATTCAAGGTCATGTCCAAGGGCAGGGTCAAGACAAGTTCAAAGAAAATCAATAGAAAGAGGAAGGTCTAAAGAAAGAGTAAAAAGAAACTATGAATCCAGTCCGGAAGAATTTAACGATGGCTATTATCATCGTCATCATTATAACCACCAACGCCAAGATGAGAGAGACTTTTCTCACTCGAGAAGATCACAAAAGTTAAGATCCGTTTCAAGCTCTGGAGACAGAATAGAGAATAGAGGAAGAGCTCATGAAAGATCCGAATTTAAATACCTTAGAAGTAATGTTAAAAATCATTCTAGAATTACCACAACTCAAAGGGTTGGTGATGAAGATTATGAGTTAAATAATATTACAACTTATTCTCACTCTAAATCTGTCCCTGGACCCATAAATTCAAGTAGAAGTACTAGTAGAAGTAGAAGTCCAAGTATTAAAACGAATAAAAGCGAAAATAAAAATGATGGAAGAAATAAAATTAGAGACAAAGTTAGGCAAAGAGATAGAGATTTTGATAAAGAATGTAACAGAAGCAAAAGTAGAAGTGTCTCAAGATCTAGGCATTCTTCAAGATCAAAGCATATATCTGAGTCTCAAAATAAATACAAATCCAAATCCAACCCCAGAACCAGATCATATTCTTGTTCTGATGAGGAATATATCTCTAATTCGAATACAAAAACTTCTCGAAATAGATCACAATATTACAGAAATGAGAATTACTATGACCAAGGCTACGATAATGATTATGCTATTAACAAAAACAGTGAATATGGAAATAGACCAAGTCATGGATACAACTATGATCATGGAAATAGTCACTACAACGACTATGAAAGAGATAGTTATAATCATGGAGACAGAAATTGGAATAATATCAGATATTTAAATAGGTACCGAGACAGACATGAAAATTATGTTAATAGATCATTTTCTGAAGAAAGAGAAAGATCTAGAGAGAGGGAAAGAAGAAGAAGAAGAATGCAAGCAAAGTAAGTTTGTTTTTTTTTTATTAATTCATTATTGAATATTTTAACATTTAAACCTTTCTTTTTAGATGTATTAAAAAGGCTGGAGGATTTCAAAAACTTGCTCAAAGCGAAGGTAAAGAGCCCACTCCCGTCTTCTATGATGGATTCCAATGGGTAGCAAAAACTGGAAGTACAGCATCAATGGATCCAGCTACAATGAATAATACAAGAAGGTTTAGAAGGCTTTATTTTGGTAATCTACCTATAAATCTAGGTCTTACTGAATCAAGCTTTCAACAAATTGTCTGGCAGGAAATGGCATTGAGAGGATTATGTTTAAATCCCAATGAAAATCCTATATTGTGTGTTTGGTTTGCTCAAAAAAAAGGTAATTATGGTTTTGTTGAATTTAGAACTGTAGAAGAAACTGAAAAAGCTCTTCAATTAGATGGTTTTGCTTGTATGGGATCCAAAATTAAAGTCTCTAGACCAAATGACTATTCTCAAGCACTACAATCATCATCTTCTTCAACAGCAGTTGGAGGATCGGGAACAAATATTCAATCACCTTACAATTCAGTATTAAATCCTATTAATAATTTGAATTCCCATACAACCATAAATGGAGCAATTACCAAAGATAATGCTTTTTATTTAGGACAAGAAACTGCATTACAACTACTATTCACTCTAGAAGATACTTATTCTTTAGGTACACGTAATTTGGATTCAAAAGTTCTAAGAATTACAAATGTTTTAGATCCTTGCCAAATTCAAGATCCTGAAGAGTGTCGAGAAATTAAAAGAGATTTCTGTGATGGAATTCAGTATAAAGATTCAATTATATCCTCTAGGATTATCACAATTGACGATATATCTAGATTATGTCAAGAACTTGCTGAGAAAGATATTCAATTGGAACCAGCTGATATCCTTTTGGAGTTTGATTCTAATACAAATCTTCAATTAAGTGTTTCTGCAATGTCTATTGCAAATTATAATAATAAGATTCCAAAGATGAATTTATTTGATGAAGATTTCTATCATAATCATCTGAAGGGATGAAAAGACATTTCAAATTTGTTAATTTCTCAAAATAATAAATTAATTAGAAAACTTAACTAAAGCTTATTAAAATCCAACTAAAAAAGTCTTTTTTCTAACTTGATCTTTAATTTTTATTCTTTTTGAATTATTTACGATACCTATTTATATAACAAATAATATTATTATTCCATCATCATTTTTGTGATCTTTCTTCAAATTGAATAATTCAAACCCTATTTAACTTTCTATTCTCAATCTTTACTTTTAACTTCCTCTTTTTGTTTTCTCTAATCCTTTCCCTCATTGCTTTCTTTCTCTTGAAAGCTATTTCTGGATTTCTAACAGTATCTAATCTTAATTTTGTCTTTCTTTCCATTCTACTTGATATTACACTCTTTCTAGCATCTGAAAGACAATCTAACAAAATGTTTGCTTTTCCAATATCATTAAAGACTTTGTCCCATCTTTCAACTGCTCTTTGAGCAAATAAACAAGTCTGACCTATAATTTGATATACTCCAAACTTTTGTATATCTTGAACCCATTCAAAATTTGTTATATTATATATAGGGAATCCTTTTTCTGTGAAATCTTGTTTTTTAAGCATTGTAGAACTTTGATATAGAGCTCTTGTTGCATGCTTGAGTGAACCTATGACAATAGAATTCTCCCAATTAAAGCTTGAATCATTAATAACTAATGGTAATAATCCTATCATATCATAAAGAGATTTTAATGTTAAAAGTAGTCTTGTTCTGAAATTCCCTGGTCTAGTAGAATAGAATCTACTACAACATGAAATTCTATCAATTAACCACCAATAAGCTTCAATTCTTATTGTAGATTTCTTTTCTAATACTAATGTAGAATTATCTATACTTAAAACCTCATCAAAATCCTCTTCTTTTAAAGTATTATTCTTAATCTTCTTATTTTGATTCTTATCTTGATAAGAATCAGTAGATTCTGGAATTTGATTAAGAAGAAAATCATCCAATGCATCCTCAACATCATCCTTGTAGTCATTTCCTCCTGTAGAAATTGAAGATTTTAGAGTTTTTGAAGATGAAAATAATGAAAATGAGTCTCCTCCTCCTGATGATTCATCATCTTCTTCTTCTTCATTATCTTCTGAATTATCTCCTTTATCAATAATTAACCAATCATCTTCCTGAACTTCATTTTCTTTTGAAATCTTAATTTTCTTAAATCCTTTCTTTGTTTCAACATTATTATAAAGAGATGAAGCTAATTGACAATTCAAATCATTTCCATTATTTCCTGATGATAATGACATTTCTTCTTCTTTATCAATTTCTGAAAGTTTCTTTGAAGGATTCCAATCATCTTTAAGGAAATTAGATAAAAGAATTAAATGTTGAATACAAGCTAAAACTTTTGGAGCAAGCCATGGAGCAAATTCAAGAATTGAATTGAATTGCAAAGGAATTATTCTACTAAATAGATTAGTAAATATCTTGGGATTTAAAGTGAAATCCAATAGAAAATACTTTTCTAACTTGTTTGAACGAGATTTAACAACAATACCAGCAAGACATTGCTTAAGTAAATTAGTCACTAATCTGTATAAAGAAGACTTAACCCAAAGATGTCCACTTTCCAATCCTCTTTTATTCTTATGATCAATAATCATTATATTCCAAAGCTTAGACCAAATCTTTCTATTTTCAATCTTTTCTTTAGAAAACCAAGTCAAATTAATAGATTCAAAAATTTCAAATTCTCCTTGTAGAAACAAGTTTAAGAGATTAATTGTCTCATATTCCAATCTATATATAATATTATTATTAGTATTATTATTACCGGTACCTTGATTAATTTCGTCTTCTTTATCTTGGTTTTCCAGATCAATAACTGAAAGAATTGAAATAAGTTGATTTAGTTCAGAAAAGATTAGGATCTCAAAATCTCCAAGCTCTTTAAAAGAAATAACTTCTCCTTTAGATATGAAGAATTCTAAAATATACTCTATTAAAATAACAAGACCACATTTAATATTTAAGTTACTTGTAAGAGTACCAAGAGCATTGAAAACTAGAGTAATTAAATTCATTCTTGCTTGATTATCGTTTTTATACATTGAAAGAATATCAAAAACTATATCTTTTATCATTATTCTTGGTTTACTTTCTGTCTCAGTAGAAAGAGCTAAAGTTAAACCAGTTAGGAACATTATATTATAAGATTCGATCATAAGTCTTATAGGGAATCGAGTAATTAAAGTATGAATTGCTGTTAGTAAGGCTTGTCTTCCTTCTGATGTAGGATAATCTGGTAAATTCCCAAGTAAAACTGAAATTCTTTGTCTTTGTGATTTCTCTGACATTGGATAATATAATAGAAGATCTACATAGATATTACATCCCATAGCTACAATTTTTGGTTCCATACCACTATATTGAACAATTAAAGGAAGAACTGAATCAACAAGTGAATAAAGAGAACCCAAAGAATCACTAGATACAGTT